CAACCACTGCTCAGCTATATCTGGATTAGGCCCTCCTTGAAATTTCGGAGGTAGAAACTTTTGGAATCTCTCAAGAGCCTTATCCTCTCCGATCTCAGGATTCCGGGGTTGATTCACTGGCATTTGACCTTGTTGATCTACCAGTCTTGCCAAGATATCCGTTATCTGTTGCATTGCCGTTGCCATTTGGTCTCCAGTCGCAGCTCTTGATCCCTGCTCTTGCTCAGCTGACGTTTCCCTTTCTCCTCTTGCTTCCGGGGTCCGCTCAGTTCCCCGGCCTCGACCACGTCCACGACTACGTCTCCCGTCCATAGATATGTTTTTCCTTCTCTCTTTTCTTTTCTTTTCCCCCAAAAAGGTAATTTAATAATGAACAGAGTAAGTTGACTATAGTAACAAATTCTAGCTTTCCAAATACACAAATAAATATATACGTACATAACACGCCATATCAAGAAGACGGATAAGCATATACACAAATACATATCAAGTTGGTCAGATAATCATGTACACACAGGTATACTGACATCATGTAGTAACAATATACAGGTAAATCAAAAGGAAAAAGTGAAGTCATTCCAGTATCAGCCCGTCCGGTCTCTCACGTCACTTACTATCCAAACTAGATGTCCCTGACCTCTTGTGCTCCTTCTAGTCAGACAAAGCCTGTTCATGTTCCCAAAATGCAAGTCTCAAGTACTTAGCAGCGCCGCAACTCTAGAGTACTCAGGCACGAGAATCCGAGATAAGATAATTCATATCTCGAGCTGCAGTCTCAAGAGTAAACTATCTACAATCGAAATTCCTACCTGACATACCTATCTATGGTTCTCAGATACCATGAGAAACATTTAAGGCCTATAACATTCGCAATTCTTAGTCCATCATACTTATTCACCACTTAGTCCAGATCACTCCGCGCAGAGACCACGCGAAGCAGCTATAGGTTTTATCCCTCAATCGCTTAACTTTCAAGTCAAATCGAATCCCACAGTCCGGCATCCTAAACTTCAAGCCTAGGATACACTACAGAGATCTAAAACCTAAGCTCTGATACCACCTGTGACGGCCCCACCTCCACCTAGGGCGTACCCCAGATTTCAGCTGGTCGCCTGCCCGGCTCTCGCAGGGATTCAGTCGTTCCTTAATCAAATCCAGAATAAATCACAAGAATAAATAGGGCAGCAATCCAAACTTAAAGCGGAACTTATATGCATTGCTATCTCAAAAGGAAGTACAGCCATCAAATGTACAAAGGTTCTCACTTCACCATACAACCGGCCCGTGCCAAGCACTAGGGCGAAAACCATTACAAAAGAAACAAAAGACCGAGACTAGGCTAGTCTATGCTCTCATCCTGCTCGCCGTCCCCTATTAAGGAAAACAAAACTAAAGGGGTGAGCTAAAAGCTCAGTGAGGTTCCGAACAGCTAATCAAACAATCAATTCAACACATTAAACATGGAGTATCAATAATTCAAGAAACATTTACACTGGAAAGCAATAGTAACATTCATTAAAAGGATACGGGCTCACATAGAGCTATTCGTTCTTTCGTTCGTTCCCCTGACATTTTCCCTTATTCCTCCAATTATTTGAAATTTTCTTTTTGAGAAATAAAACCCTCGTGCCTTCGTTCGTTCATTCATCCCTTTCCGGACATTGACCGGACTCCACCCATCCGGACGTTGACCGGACTCCACCCATCCGGACGTAGCCGGACTACATGGTAATACTCGAGTATACCAAATTCACCCAGGGTCACCATATTGCCCGACCGAGTCCGCTTCTAGCTCGAGTCGATCGGTAACGAAGGGCTGGGCCCAATTCAGCCAAAATGCTTACATCATGCGTAACTAATGTTTCCATCATTAAATCATTGAAAATTTCACGTTTCATTAAGGTCGAGCGCGATAAAGTACACGCTCGCCTAGAAAACTCGTTTTAGAAATCCTTGAAAGCACTTAACACATTATCAAACAACAACAACAAGTCATGAAGTCTAGGAGAATATAACAAACCAGGAACACTCACCTAGTTATGCAAAATAACGTGCAAAATATCCTTCCGGATATTACCCTTAGTCACCAACGAAACCTAAGGTTGAACAAGAGAACATATTACAGTTTATCGAGCAAAACATTTAAGGGAAACAAAGAAACCCGACTAATTAGGAGTAAAACGTGTAAATATGACTTTCAAGTAAGAAGAGGGTTGTTTGAACCCAAGGATGAAAAATCATGTTTTAAAATGGAAAGCCGGTCATGGTATTGGCCAAACAAAAGTATACAAGTTCAACTAGAAACCTAGCATTCGAGCGAAAATTTGGGCAGCACGCCCTTTGTGTTTACCTAATTTTCCAGCCATTTTGGCTTCATTATTTTTCCTCAGCCACAACCCAAAGTCACACATATCATAATTCAAGTCAATAGCCATTCCATAGGCTCATAACATCATAAGAACAAGAATCAAAGTAATAACAAGTGCGGAAATACAATCTAGCAAAAGACATATTTGACGTGTGGATGCGGAAATAACATATCTGAGGCTACGCTTATCAGATTGAGGCATAACTTATGCCGTTTCGAAGCTAAGACACAGGGCTAGAATGTTCATGAAGGTCACGTAGTCCCGTTTCCAATTCAACTTAGTCAAATCCTCAATTTACAGAACTAAAATCTAACTCGTCGGCTGTCTAACCGCATTGTACTGTAATGGTCATATCTCAGGTTACAAAAGTTCGATTCAGGTGTTCTTAGAGGCATTTGAAAGCTAAGTCAGAATACTACAACTTTCATGTTTTGGTAAAAAGCTAAATCAGTACGGATCCTAGTGGAAAAACGTGATAAACTGGCTGAACTGACGAAAACGGAACACTGGAAATTTCCTAAAATAGTGAGGGTATTTTGGTCTTTTCATGGGCTACGTTGCTCCGATTGAGCTGAAATTTTGCAGGCACCTCTAAAACGTCATTCCCTACAACTTGCATGTTTTAAGGCAAGGCCAATTCGGCCTCTAACATAGGGCAATAAAGACGGGCAGAACCTAGTGACAATTTTCCAGAAATCTGAAATCTTTTGGTTTCAATGATAACTTTCTTAATTTCTTACTCCAATTGCTACCAAAACCCCCTATATAACCTTGGATACAACATATATTCATCATACATCAAGTTTAGGCAGAAATTTATTAAACCCTAACTCATGTAACAAAAGGAAAAATTACCCAAAACATGATAACAACCGTAATTCATCACAATCTTGAGATGCTAAGCTAATTTAAACAAGATTAAGAGTAAAAATTGGGGAAATCATCATCCTTACTTTGCTTAGTGTCTACCAAGAGCAACCCTAGCCTTCCCCTTCAAAATTTCACCAATACCTCACTCAATAAACACTCAAGGGTGCCTTTAATCGGTTTAGTTCCTTTGTTTCCTCACTTTGTGACTTGATTCAAGAAGAAATGGAGAAGCTTTTCTCTTGTTTTTGCTCTCTCTCTCTCACGGCTCTTCAGCAGAAATAATGAGGAAGAATGGTGCAATTTTGGGGATAAGAAGGTTGGACAATGTCTTGGTCAATGGCCTCTAATGGTGTGACACTTGTCACAACCCTTACCAAGTAAAATTTCCTTTTCTTTTCTTGTATTTTCAGCCTCTAATTTCGGTCAAGTTTAGCTGGAATTTAGGAGATATTTTGCTCAATTATCAATAAGCTTGTATGGTAAGAAAGTGGTGGTCAAGTGGTGCGTTCAACCGGTAGTGCGCGGGACCCGCCGGTTCGCGCCGTTTTTCTTAAAAACACACGTACTAGGGTTTTTACTTCCTATTCACCAACCTTATCTCATTGCTCCTAATCACATATTATTTCTCACTTAAAAGTCACTTTTAAATCTCCAAATTTAATCCTTACTCTGTACCGAAAATTCATCCGGCGAAAAGATCGCGAAAATCCTAATTTGCTCCAATCCCGAAAACAAAGAGTGAAACCCTACTTTCTAGGTTTATTTGCACTTATTGGGGAATGGTTGGGTAGTAGGGCTATAATAAATGATTTCTAAATAAAAAGGCATTTTTGAGAAAAATATAAGAAATTTGTGAGTCCTCACAGGAATGTGATATCTTTTGTCTCTAGAAAGTTGAAACCCCACGAGTAGAACTACCCAACCCACGATCTTGAGTTAGTCGCGGTTGTTTTTGCTCTGAAAAATTGGTGGCACTATCTATACGGGGTAACTTTCGAAGTGTACTCAGACCATAAGAGCCTTAAGTACTTTTTCGCACAGAAGGAATTGAACATGAGGCAGCGACGGTGGATGGAATTTCTGTAGGACTATGACTGCACCATCAACTATCATCTGGAAAAAGCGAACGTGGTAGCCGATGCCTTAAGTCGAAAGGCTCAAGTAGCAGGGTTAATGATTAAGGAGTGGGATTTGTTAGAGTCCGTTTGTGAGTGAAAACCCTGCCTTGGGAGTCATAAGGTGGTTTTTGGTAATATTAAGGTGACTTCCACCCTATTGGAGCGAATTAAAGAAGCTCAAAAGGAGGATTCGATGGTGCGAAAGTAGAGAGAAAGGGTGGAAAAAGGGGAATCGACCGACTTCAACTTTGGACCCGAGGGTGTTTTGAAATACTGGAACTGAGTGGTAGTGCCTAAAGATGAAGCGTTAAAGACAGAGATCATAGAGGAGGCTTATCGGTCCAAATATACGATCCATCCCGGTAGTAGTAAGATGTATCAGGACCTAAAAGGAGCTTATTGGTGGGACAATACGAAGAAGGAAATCGCTCTCTACGTGTAAAAATGTCTCGTTTGCCAACAAGTTATGGCGGAGTATCAAAAACCATCTGGATTGTTGCAACCTCTTGAAATACCCGAATGGAAGTGGGAAAACATCACAATGGATTTCGTTTCAGGTTTGCCGCGAACGCAACGAGAACATGATGCCGTTTCGGTGATCGTTGACCGGTTAACTAAATCGGCCCATTTCTTGCCGGTAAACATGAATTATTCCATGGAGAAATTGACTCTGGTGTACATGGATGAGATCGTAAGGCTACATGGAGTTCCTGTGAACATTGTTTCAGATAGAGATCCCCGCTTCGTATATAGGTTGTGGTAGAAGTTCTAAGAGCCTCTGGAGACTAAACTCAACCTAAGCACCACCTATCACCCTCAGATGATGGACAATCGGAGCGAACAATCCAAACTCTCGAAGATATGTTAAGGACCTGTATTCTGGATTTTGGAGGTAATTGGGGTCAACATATGACCTTGGTGGAGTTTGCTTACAGCAACAGTTACCATTCGTCGATTCAAATGGAACCGTACGAAGCACCATACGGGAGGAAGTGCCAGTCACCAATCTATTGGGACGAAATCGGCGAGAGGAAAGTTCTAGATCCAACGGCTATTCCATGGATAGAGGAGGCACGAGAAAAAGTCAAGTTAATATGACAAAGAGTCCAAACAGCGCAAAGCCGACAAAAGAGCTATGCGGACAATCGACGAAAGACTTGGAGCTTGAAGTTAGGGATCGCGTTTTCCTCAAGGTCACACCGTTACGGAACATCATGACGGGTAAAGGAAAGAAATTTCAACCAAAGTTCGTCGGACCCTTCAAGATCCTCCAGAGGGTTGGTAAAGTAGCGTATCGGTTAGAACTACCGTCAAGTCTATCCAGAATTCACGATGTCTTCCACGTCTCGATGCTTACGAAGTGTTATCCCGACCCGTCTCACATCTTACAACCGGAGGAAATTGAAATAGATGAATCCCTCACTTACAAAGAAAAACCTGTACAGCTGTTTGACCGAAAAGTGAAGGAGCTGAGAAACAAACAGATTTCTTTGGTTAAGATCTTATGGAGAAATCATGGCGTAGAAGAAGCTACCAGGGAGGTGGAAGAAGAAATGCACAAGAAATAGCCTGAACTATTTCTGAATTAAGGTGAGAAAATTTCGAGGGCGAAATTCTTTTAAGGGGGAGAGAGTGTGAGAACCGTGAATTTTCTTATTTTCTAGACTTTATTTTATTTAATTACATACCTTTTTATATTTTCTTTACTAGGAAAAATTTCTAGATGATTTTTATGAGTAAATATGGTTTTTAATCATTTTTCTAGTATAAGTTAGTTCATGTGATTTTAGGAGTGTATACTGGGTATGAGACCTGCAAGTGCGGTAAGTCCGATAAAATTCAGCCAATTAGCTTAAGTTTTGTATACAGGGATTAATTTACTAGGTGTTAAGAGATAATTAGAAGTTACCCAAATGGATTAATGGTGGAGAGACAAAAGGATAATTGTAAGCCAAAAGGGCGACAAGTGTCATTTTCCCATTGAATCTTGGACTTTGACCACTATTCATGAACTTTACTGAAATCTAAAAAAATTGATGAAAAATCTTCATTTTCTTCCCTCATTTGGCCAGCTTTCTCAAGAAAGAAAAGAAAGAAAACTCTTTAACTTTCTTCAACCAATCTTGCCAAATCTTGTGATTCAACCGTTTAATTTTCAAATTCCTCAATAAAAACCCTTAGCTAGGTGGTATTGAAGTTGTTGGTGAAGAGGTTTGGAAGGAAGAGGTGCTAAGTTGTCTCTTTTCTTGAGATTGCAAGGTAAGTGGCTAAGGAAACCTTCATTTGTTCTTGATAAGGTTCAATTAGTGGCTTATGTGAGTTAAAGAGATGGTTTTATGTGATATTCATGACTTTTGGTAGAGATTGGTGAATTTTTTTCATTTATTCATGATTTTTCTGTTTTTATATGTTTAATATTGGTTGGCCATGGATGATGGTTTGGAGTGGTCTAGAATGAAGCTATGGTGCATAAATTGTAACTATTTGCGGAAAATTTTTGCTTTGTACGGAAAATTTTGGATTTAGGGTTTGTATTTGGGGCTTTTATGGGGTTGCTATGGAACACTTGAATTGGCTTTGTTTAAGGGGTATTGGGACCCTAATAAGTTGTATTGGATAGCCTATGATTTATAATGTAATGGTGGTTGTATTTAGGAAACATGAGTGAATGATTGTAGGTTGGAAAATTGAATTTATAAGGGGAAGTGCTGTCCAAATTGTGGGTTTTATGTTTTCTTGGATTTAGGGTGCTTTAGGGGTTAATTGGTGACCTAAGGTTGTCTAAACCTTTAGCACCAAGTGCGCCTTACAATACTTTCAAATTATTATGGTTTTACACTAGTGATATGTGGTTTGAGTTTACAACTCATATTCGAGTCTCATTGTGCTTTCTTGAATGTTTTAGGGCATGACGGTGATTCAAGACGCTTATTGGGTGGAAATTTGTGAAACATCCTTTGTTTGATTGGTGAGTGTACTACTTACATGATTGTTACTTCATGGCTTTGTTATACTTCAAATCTATGACTTGATTGCTTGTGTTTACTGTTGAAATTGATTGAGACGAGGGTGTACTTTATCACTCTTGCACCCTATGTCTTATGTGATTGTTTACCGCATATATGGAATGCCACTTGAATATATTTGAACTGGTGTCGTTTGGACGTATATCCAACGACCTTTACTGTCACCACCGAGCTCAACCTCATTGGTGGTCAATTACATCGAGCCGGCAAGGGATTGGTCGTGAAAATTGACAAGCCATGGGGACTATTATATGGAATTCTTGAGTATGAGACTCTTGATTCCGGTATACTCGATTATTACCAATTATGAACTGACCGGAGTTCGGGCCCGGTAAGGGTATGAGAGGTGGACGGAATTGGGAGCAAAGTGGAGTCTACGGTATCGGTTTCCTTTTTGTACATTGATAGAGAGTCAATGAGGTGAGATCAAGTATGGCAAACGAGGAAAAGGGCTCTTGAAAGCCGTCCGTATCATTTTACCAATTTTATTGATATGTGGTATTAGTTTATTTCTTAATTGAATGAATTTGGATAGAAGGGCTTTATGCTTATATGAACTTCGTTGCTTGAGTGACAGTATCTCATTGGGCGAAAGCTCACCCTACTACTTTTGTTTTCCTTACAAGGAGTTGAACGTCTTTTGAAAGGCTATGATATGTGGTTGCCGAGTTGAGCTAGTTTAAATATTCTTTTGTATAGCTCCTCAATGGATAAAACTCTAATTGTATTTGGATCCAACCTTCTCTTTGATTAGTGGTGGTATGAGATGCAATATTATGGATTATTTCTTGATTTGTGGTTGAAGTGATGAAGTTTTATTATTTTTGGGGATTTTTCTGTTTTAATATGAACATGATTGTGTGGCTATCTATGATGAATGGAAATGGTATATAATGACTCTAGGAGGTGGAAAAAGTGATTAATTGCAACCAATTTCTGGTTTGGAAGAAATTTCAGAAAATTAGGGTTTGAGTGGGAACATTCTGCCTGAATTTATAGCTCCTAGTTAGAAGCCGAATTGGCCTTAGCTTAAAACATAAAAGTTGTAGGGAATGACATTTTAGAGGTGCCTACAAAATTTCAGGTCAATCGGAGTAGTGTAGAATGAGAAAAGTCAAAATTACCCTTGCTGTCCTGGTTTTATCCGAATGTAAGAATTGCGCCTGTAATTGGTTGTTTTGGCTGGAATTGCTTTGGAATTGGTTGTTGAGGTCTTCTGATGAAATGTAAATTTGTTTCTAAGATTTTGAGTGGCTTTGGAATTTCTGGATTTGGACTTGTGTAGGCTGAGTTATGATGTTTACACCAGAATGCGTTTTGTGAATCTGTTTTACGGTTTTGATGTAGTATCTTGCATTTTTGACCTGGTTGCACTCAAAACTAGGTTGAGTGACCTTCTGAAATGTTGTAACCCTGTCTTTTAGCTTCGAAATGGTGTATCGTACACCTTCGTCCGATAATCGTAGTGCCTTTGGTGCCATTACCGCAAAATGAGGTCAAAAACTGTTTTTTCAGGGCTAAAGCTAATTCCATTTCCGGATTTTTCTGGTTTCCTCTAATGCTTGTATATGCTTATGGAACCCTATTGGGGTCGTATTTGGCATTGGTTTATGACTTGTAAGCGAGTCTTATTGTGTTTATTTGAATAGTTTTAGGGCTTGACTTTTGTTTCCGGTCATTTTGCTAGCTAAATTTTGTACTTGAATGACTATTAAGCCTAGTGAACGGCTTTTGGAAATGAGATTATTTTTGTACGAGATGTTGGGACTGATTTGAGGAAATAATGAAGCCATGACGGCTGGAAAAGTAAGCAAATTTAGGGGAAATGCTATCCAAATTTCTAGGCCGTTTAGTCTCTTTAGGTTTGAGTTGCCTTTTGAAAGAAATGAAGGGCTTTTGGGTCATTCAAACCCTAGGTCCTCCCGTTACTTTTGTTTCCAAAAACATCATGTTTTTCACCCTTGCATTAGTAATTATTTGGCGAGGCATACGACTAGTGGTCGAGCCTCACTTGTGCATTCTGTTTGCTCGATTTTGGATGTGAAACCTTCAATTGTTTTACTTTGGTTCGTTTAGGGTTTCTTGGCGATTAAAGCCAGTTTGAAGTGAAACCTTGTGGAAGTATCCGTACTTGGACTGGTGAGTGTACCACTCCCCTCCATTGCTGTTTAACTTGATTTCTGCCCTGCAATTTGTGATTTAAATGACTGCACTATCTATTTAATTTGTTTGGGACGGGGGTATACTTTATCACACTCGTTCTCTTGTCTGTTCATATGCCAATTTTGGTGCAAATCTGAATCTGTATCTGTATCTGTCCGGATGTCGTTTGGAAACTTGTATCCAACGACCTTTCTGTGACCTCTGAGCTCAACCCCTGTGGCAAGTTACTCGAGTCGGGCCGGCAAGGGCCTGGTCGATTAGATAACGAACAACGGTAGTCTGTTTTGGGATCTTTGGGTATTGAGACCCTTGATTCCGGGTATACTCGAGTATTACCATTTCTGATCTGATTGGAGTTCGGGCCCGGTAGGGGTATGTGAGGTGGAAGGAATCAGAGAAAGTGGAGTCTACAGTATTGGATACTCCTTTAACGTTGACGGAGTGTCAACGATTATTTCGATCAAGCTTCGGTGACGCAATTGGGAAATTGGCTTCTGAGAGCCACCTGTATCCTTTCCATTTGAATCATTGGTTTCTTTACTTTACGTCTGGCAGGTGTACCTGATTTGTTAAATGTGAAATGCCATGATTTTCTGCTATGTGTCTGGTACCTCATTGAGCGTAAGCTCACCCCTTTCTGTTCTTTTGTTTTCCTTACAGGAATATAAACACTTTTGGGATTGGATTGGATAGTTGATTGCCAAGTTGAGCTAGAGTAGATATCTTTTGTATTGCTCATCGAATGAAACCCTAATGTCTATAGGGTTCATTTCTTTTGATTTGGCAAAACCGTACATGTATCAACTTTTGAATAACTTTTGTATGCCGCTTTGGATTGTATATGCTTAATTCCAACACGTAAATATTTGCTTGATGGTCGGTTGGGTTTTGACGTGTCGATTACTATTCATGGCCGACTCCGGTTTCATTTTTCTTTATTTGGACATTTTGACTTGTTTACGAGTGTTAGTATGTTTCGAAACGTCTTGGATCGATGTGAACTGAACCGTTAGTCCTGGCGAGAGTTGGGCGGGCAGTCCGCTAACCCCTTTGGTTCGCCTTAGGGGAAAGTGGGGCTGTCACACGGAGAGTAGTGTAAGTGGTGCTCTACTGGATTGGTTCATTTAGTTGAAAGTTGACGGAGTGTCAACTATTACGTGATCATGCTCCTGATGATGAAATGGGAAGTTGGCTCCTGAGAGCCATCAGTATCCTTATGTTTTGGAATGATTATTGTTTAGCGGATTATTGTTTCTTCTGAAAACTTTTATACTCGCTCATTTTAAGATTTCTACTTGAAGTGTTATTGCTTATAAAATGAGATTACTACTTGACGTGTTATGGCTCACTTTTATGAACTCTTCATGCTCGTTACTTTG